CTGCTAACCAAAAGGTCGGCAGTTCAAATCCACCAGCCACTCCTTGGAAACCCTATGGGGCAGTTCTACTTTGTCCTATAGGGTCACTATGAGTCAGAATCAACTCAATGGCAACGGGTTAGACTGTGAGAGAATAAATTTCTCTTTGTTAAAGCCATCCACGCGAGCTATTTCTGTAATAGCAGCACTAGATAATTAAGACAGAATTTGGTACTGGAGTGGGGTGCTGCTCAAACAGATACCTGAAGTGTGGAAGTGGTTTTGAAACTGAATGGATAGAGGCTGGAAGAGTTTTAAAGTGGCTAATAGTAAAAGCCTTGATTGCCTTGAAGAGACCATTGATGGAATTATGGACATGAGGCAATTCTGGTGAGGACTCAGAAGGAAGTGAGGTGAGAAATGGCAGCAGCAGAGAAACAGCAGCAGCAGCACCAGGAGACCAGCATGAGACAGCACTGGAGCCACCAGAGACAGAAAGCCTTCCCCTGGAGCCAGCACCCTGAATTCGGACTTTTAGCCTCCTAGACTGTGAGAGAATAAACTTCTGTTTGTTGAAGCCATTCACTTGTGTATTTCTGTTACAGCAGCACTAGATGACTAAGACAGATCCCCACAAAGAAGGGGCCTCTGTCTGACATCTGTGGCCACCCAAGGGCTTTTGGGCAGGGCAGGCTGGTCAGGCTCAGCACAGGGAGGGGTGGCACTGAAATGCCTGAGCAAGGAAATCAGGGCCCTCACAGCAAGATGGTTTCGAGGATTACCGCCACCTCCTACCACCCCTGAGTTCAGCTCCTCAGGCTCTCAGACCGTCAACCAGGGGCCTCTCCAGCCCAGCTCATCCAGGCCTGCTCCAGCAATGGCGGTCACAACCTGTACCGGGACACACCCCAGGCTGCCACCTGGCTGGGTCACTGGCTTAAGACTTGCTTCTTCCCCCAGGGTGTTTGGACAAATGATATCGTTAATGTACACAGTTTCTCTCCCTGTAAAATGGGAATAACCGAGAACACCCACTGCAGAGGTTCTTTTGAGGGTTAGATGAGATGGTGCCTGAAAGCGGCAGCCATATGGCACTTCTGAGATAAGGCTATGAAAGACTGCAGCTTTACTTCTGGTCCCTCCCTGAGGGGAAGCCACACTCATGAGCAGCCCAACAGAGGAGCTGGTGTTGAGAACTGCAGGCTCCGGCCAACAGTCATGTGAGTGAGTGGGCTTGGAAGCAGATTCCCCAGATCCAGTAAAGCCCCAGATAACTGCAGCCCTGGCCGACAGCTTGACAGCAACCTCCCGGGAGACCCTGAGAAAAAACCACGCAGCTAAGCTGCTCCCCTGCTCCTGACCCTCAGAAAACTGTGTGAGATAATACATAGGTGTTGTTTTAAGCTAAATTTGGGATAACTTATCATGCAGCAGTAAGGACTTCTTGGAGCATTTAATATGCTAATGCAAATCTCCAAGAAAGAAGATACACAATGTAGCCTTCCCACATTTATCTGGTCAAGGAGGTCCTCTTTCTTGAGCATATTCCGAAGGAAACTCAGATCTAATGACACAGCTCTGGCCCTACAATGAGATGTCACTTCTTTGACTTTGTCTCGAGAACTAGTCATTTACTCTTTCAGAGTCTCAACTTTTCCCTTCTGTAAAGTAGAAGCAAACCACCTGCCTTCACTTCCCTCCCTGCCTGGGCCTGAATACAGCCCCGACGGGCAGGTTCTCAGCTGCTTGGTGGTGGGGTGAGGGTGGGAGGTGGTGGAGGAGGGAGCCTGTCTAGATCCCAGGAGGAGCCTCCCCTTGGGGCTCAGGTGGGTTCTACAGGTGGTAAGTGGGCCCAAGGCCCATTATCTATTTTTCTTCCTCAGGCCAGCTCCCCAAAACGGTGAGGAATAGTGGTGTCTTCTAGCTATTTGTATAGCTCAGAGATGAGGGGCAGGGCCTGTGCCTTCCCCATCAGACTGGGAGCCCCTCCAGGGCAGGGCCTGTGCCTCCCCATCAGACTGGGAGCCCCTCCAGGGCAGGGCCTGTGCCTCCGCATCAGACTGGGGGAGCTTGTCCAGGATTGATGGCCCAGGTACCTCTCATCCTATGGACACACCGCAGCCATGGGGAGGAAGGATCAACAGAAACTTCTCTGGCCTTAAGGGGAAACATATGTCCTTCCTTCCTTTTCAATTCATTCTTTACCCAGTAAAAGACTGAAATCCACTTTCAGGGTGCCTGATGGGTTAGCAACCCACTGAAGCTCGGCAGGTCCCTCTTTATAAAAAGAAGACAGTTAAAAAAAAAAAAATCTATAATGCAAATACTTTATTATCAACGAGTGACTGGTATTAGCTTTTTGTCTGGGTATTAATATTTCAGAAACCATACACCAAACCCAGGCTTTCCCACCTAGCTCTGCTGTATCATTTTCTTAAAAAATAAAAATAAAGAAGAGGAAGGAGAAAAAGAAAATATATCTGTATTGAAAGAATTATAAGCCAAAGTGCGTCTTGTTTTGTCCATATACACACATTGCACCATACATAAATAATTACATTGTAAAAATGACTCCATAATTACAAGTATAATATATATTTCCATATAATATATAAAACTTTATATTAAATCTAGGTAGATGATATTTGGGGGGTTTCCTCAGCGGGAGCCGTGTCTCTGGGCGCGGCCCTTCCTGCGGCAGGCACACAGTGGTGGCTGCCCGCCGTGCCTGGCCCCGGGCACACGGCCGTCGCCTCCGCAGCCGCCGCTATCTGTGGTTGCTGAGGAGGATCTCGAGCCAGCAGGGACAGGAGGTGATGAACTGCCGGGAGTAGCAGGGCCCCCAGCCCTTGGCAAAGCTGATGCGGACGCTGTTGGGGTCGTAGGGGCCGTCGGCGGCATCGGGCTCAGGCCCGTGCTGGAGCAGACCCGAACGCTCAAAGTCGAACACCTTGATGGAGTAGCCCGGTGGCACCTTACGCACGACGAGGGCGCGGCCGCCGGGCGCGTCCAGCGTCGGGGAGTTGACAAAGATGGGGTGCTCACCCCGGTTGTAGGCCCACACGCCATCGGGCTCCTTGCTGAGCAGGATGCCGAAGCCGATCTTGCTGCGCGTTCGCTGCACCGACTCACTGCGCTGCTCCAGGTTGAGCTGGCCCAGGCAGAAGCCGCTGCCCTGAGGTAGGTCATAGAAGATGCTGACGGCCTGGTCGTACACCGCGTAGAGGCGGCCCACTCGCGTCCGGTGCTCCCAGTACGCCACGCTGCACCAGTGGCTCGGCTTCGTGGCATCGGGAGACATGCTGGCGTCTGCAGAGGAAGCGCAGGGCCGTTACTTGGGGTAGGGAGGTGGGCGCTGCAGCCTGGAAAGTGGGGGCTGCAATAGGCACGCGAGCACCTACTGTGTGCCAGGCTATCCTCAAGAAATTTAAGGCACAAGAGAGCTCTCTCCCCCTCTCGCTCACGAACACACACAACCTCACGCAAAGGAGAAACAAATGTTACGAACCTACCGTGTGCAAGGTAAGACACCTACTGTGTGCTAGGTACTGTGGATGCTCATCCAGTCCCCTGCCCACAGGAATTTCACAAGCCAGCAGGAAAGAGAGTGCAGACAGATACATACTCACACACACTGACAGGAGGGACTAAATGCTGAGCACCAACAACATCCCAGGCACTGTACACTCTATTCTTGTAAGCACTTGGCCCTCATGAATACTCTAAGGATGAGACTCAGCAACCTTCCCAAGGTCACACAGCTAGTGAGGAGCAGAGGCAGGATTTGAACCCAGTCAGTCTAAGCTTCAACCTGACTAGAGTTATAAGGTTAAATGGTTGTTGTTAGGTGCCGTCGAGTTGATTTTGACTCATTGTGACCCCATGTGACAGAGCAGAACCACCCCATAGGGTTTTCTAGGCTGTAATCTTTATGGGAGGAGGTCTTTCTTCCCCAGAGCCACTGGGTGGGTTTGAACTGCCAACCTTTCGGTTAGCAGCTGAGCACTTAAAAATTGCACCACCAGGGCTCCTTCAGGGTTAAACTCTTAGGGGGACAAACCACCTCTTGGCGGTGACTCAAGGATAGGAAGCGGGGAGGAGAGCTGGCCCCCAGGGTCCCTTCCAGCCCAGAATTGTGGGATTTCTGTGGTAGCCTTGTTATATATAAATAAGGCCGCCCCACTGCTCCCAGCCTCAGCTCTGAACATTTCGCTGAGTCTCGCAGTGCCCCCTGAGCACACTGTCTTGGCAGGAAATAAAAGTTTTCACCAGAACTGCAGCCACCTCAGAGAGACAAGGAGCTGAGGGTCTCTAAGAGCTACAAAAAATTGCTCTCCAAGGGGCTTTGGAGTTTGCCAGCTTTGTGAGGTGTGTGCTGTCCCTCTCTCTGAGCCTCAGTCTCCCCACTGTACAGGAAAGGCATGGCCTGGATGATGACTGGAACCCCTTCCCACTCCAACTAGGGGCGCCTCTGTGTGTCTGAGGAGTTTAAGACCAGGCTTATGACCAAACACAGGCCGGGGCCCTCCTGAAGGGAGGCCTCCTCCCCATCTCACATGTGGACAGCTTGTCAGAGTCTAAACCTCTGACACTGGTCCTCTGAGAGGCAGGCAGGCACCCATGGTGGCGCAGTGAGGCGGTGGCCCAGCGAGGCGGTGGCCCTACAAAGTGACGTGATTTACCATGCCTGTTCCCAACCACGCCTCTGCCTGGGAGACCTCTCAGAGGGAGGCACTGCTCTGAGTCGGCTGAGAACAAAGCAAAGCACTTTATGGCGCAGCTTCTCCAAGGGAAACTGATCAAAGTCCAGCCAAACCCGAGGGAGAACCACTTCTCACAACTTCATCTGGGAGCCTGGGTGAGGGCAGCTCTGTCAGCCTTCAGCCCAGCTCTGCCTAGAAGCCCTGCAGAAGCTGGCTGACAGGCCCCGCCTAGGACCTAGCAGGAAAATGACGGCATGGAGCATGGAGCATGGAGCCAGGGAGGGGCCCCCAGATGCTGCGGCCTTGGGTTGGGCACGGGCTTGATGGACATGGCTTTGTCCTCGGCCTGGCGTTGGGGTTCCAGCCACAGGTCCCTAGGCCTGCTGGGGGAGTCCAAGTCCTCACACCAGCCCTGGAGGACACATCATTTTGCCTCACAGTCTCCATCCAGCCCCCTCACGGTTCCACTGGGGGTCAGGAGGGGAGATGAAGAGACCTTACTCCCAGCCCTTGACTGACTGGCCAGGCATAGAGACAGCTCTAGCTCATAGCAGGTGACCAGGTTGTGGGCACTAGGCCAGTCCCAGCAGGTAGGCATCCCGGAACAGCCCAATGATCCTGAGCTCCAACCCCTCGAGCCCTTGCGCCCTCTCCACCATCTCCTGGCACCCGAGGGCCAGGAAGGCAGCACCGTGCTGGCCTGGCCGTAGCACTCCAGCACCAACCCTCTTCACCAACCAGTGGGAACTCCTTTAGTGTGAAAGGTGCAGCGAGGGGGGCAAAGAAGCTGTGTCGGAGTATCCTGGGAGATGGGCGGGCAACAGGCATCACTGAACACCGTCTATGAGCGAGGCACAACCACCACAAGGGAGGTACTCTTATCAACCCCATTTTACAGGTGAGGAAACTGAGGCCCAAGGAGGTGCCATAACTGGCCCAGGCTACATAGTAAGTGCTGGGCAGGCGCCTCCTTTCTCTAAGCCTCAGTTTCCCTGTCTAAAAGCTTGACTTGCTCTCGTGGTCTATGAGTCCCAGAGGTGCTTACCCATCAGCTGGAGAGACTCCCTCCCCCACTAACCGTCCCCACCCCGAGGACTCCACTGTCTTCTTTGCTCCTGTAACAGAGCAGGCTCAGAGAGCACCACCCAGCCATAAAGTGCTGCCTGTGGTGGAGCCACCGTACAGTAAAAGGAAAGAAGCAGTGAGCAATTAGAGTATCCGGGTAATGGGACTGGGAGGATGGCGATTCCTTCTTTCCCAGCTCCCAGAGGCTTTTCAATGCGAGGCCAGGTGGGCCGGCCTGTCCCCCTCCTCAACTCCTCCCATCCCGGGCCAAACCCACTCATCAAGGCCTGTGTCCCCAGCCTTTCCCTACTGCCCCTCACAGGAATGGTGCTCGGTGGTTGGGGACGAACCCCCCAGAGCTGCTCTGGAGCCCAGCCTGCTCCAGCTGACTGGCTCCAGGACAATGCCTGGGACAGGCCTCATCCCCTGGAGCCCTGTGGTTGAGCAGACTGGGCAACACCTCACGAGGCCTGGGCCCCTAGCCAAGTCTTCCGAATTCCAGGAGACAGACTGCTGCCTCTGGGAAGCCCTTGCTGACCTCTCCCCATCCCGGGGCGCCTCCAGCCTCAACTGCATCTGCCTCCCGTGGCCTGGGCAGGTGCCTGTGCCATTAGCCAGTGCCCCGGGCAGGTCTGACTGTTTTACCTGGTCCTCTCTATCTAGAAGGCTGCGTCTATCTCTAGGACACTCGGAACAGGCTGAAAGGGAAAACTAAAACAAAACCAAAAACAAACCCAATGCCATCGAGTCGATTCCAACTCACGGCAACCCCATGTAAAAGGGAAGTGGCAAGTAAAATACATCCCAAGTGTCTGCACACTCCTCCTGTCCCCTATTCAAATCCTGCCCGGCAGGTGGGGCTGATGGCTCAGGGAGCCCTTGGCAGCACCCCTGGAAACTGCACCACCCCACACCCTGCCAGGGCGGTGAAGAGGTAGCGGGTTAGGACACAGGCCCCATGTCTGATCCTGAGAGTGAATAAGTGAGCAGGCGAGCCCCCACGCCCACACTTGTGGCCTCCCCACCCCACCAGCCCTGAGGGTCTTGGGGCTCTGGAGCTTGGAGAACTCTACCTCCGCCCCCAATTCATCTTGCCCAGGAGGGCACAACATTTTGGGCTTTCACAAGCCAATATGTTTTTTAAAAGGCAGTGGTGGTAATGACAGAATTACCATTGCTTTATTTTGTTATGTAGAGACTTATTAAAAACCCCAATATCATCTACTCTCAGTATCACAGGAGGGTGATTTGACACCAACAAAATACGTAGGCCCAAATCAGAAATTTAAAACTTAAGAAATTTAGATTACAAAAAGTTGTCTACCCACTAGGATACCTATTATCAGAAAAACGGAAATTGACAAGTGTTGGCAAGGATGCGAAGAAATCAGAATCCGCGTGTGTTGCTGGTGGGAATGTAAAATGTAAAATGATGCAGCCGCTGTGGAAAACAGCTTGGCAGTTCCTCAAAAAGTTAAACACAGAATTAGCATATGACCCAGCAATTCACTCCTAGGCATGTACCCAAAAGAATTGAAAGCAGGAACACAAACATATACTTATCCACCAATGTTCATTGCAGCACTATTCACAATAGCCAGAAGGTGAAACAATCTACATGTCCATCAATGGATAAACAAAATGTGGTACATACGTATAATGGAATATTACTCAGCCATAAAGAGAAATGAAGTTCTGATATATGCTACAACATGGATGAACCTAGAAATCATTATGCTGAGTGAAATAAGTTAGTCACAAAAGGACAAATATTGTATGATCCCCCTTATATGAAAGATCCAGAATAGGCAAATGCATAGAGACCAATGTTTATTAGTGGTTACCAGGGGCTGGGGGAGAGGGAAATGGGCAGTTATTTATTCTTGGAGGGGCACTGAGTTTTTGTTAAGGGTGATGAAAAAAAAATCAGAAATGGATAGTGGTGATGGTTATACAACATGGTGAATGTAATTAAGGTCAATGAATTGTACACATAAAAAAGGTTAAAACCGCAAATGTTTTGTTATATATATTTTACCACACACACACATAATTTTTTCTAGCTTGTCTTTGGTTCTTCCAATGAAAACTTAGTCCTGAGACTGGCCTGTGAGAAACACTAATGAAGTCCAATGTCCTCGTGCCCCAAAGATGGTGGCCTGGGGGATGCACAGTGACTTCACCACAGATACATAGTAGTAGGTGGTAGAACTGGGACCAGAACTTGAGACCCTGGAATTCTAACCCAGAGCTTGTCACATGATCCAAATGGTTTCACAGTGAGACAGACCTAACAAGGCTGTCACCACTGACTGGATGTGTGGCATGGATGAGCCCCTGAATATCTCCAAGCCCTAGTTTCCCCTTCTGTGAAATGGAGCCATTGGTAATTGAATGCCTCACTCACACAGTCCATCTTTGGATTTTCTGGGAACTCTGGCAGATCAATTAGGTGCAGAAAGAAGGGAGTTGTCTGTTGATTGGTTCCAGCCCTGTTCTTACCCTTCAAAGGCCAGGGCTCAGAGGGTCACCACCATGGGG